GTGGAAAAAGCAATCTTTTAAATCAATGATTACAAGTGGTCACTCTCGGTATCATTGAGAGAGATGGAAGTCCGAGCTGAAGAGGACCCATTTCTTCAATGACCTCATTGATTTTCCTGAGATTGTGAAGCAATCTCCATGAATTTGAAGTTTTCTTGTGCATGACAAACACTGGAGAATTCCAAGGACTATTTGTTTCTTTGATCTGGCCTTTTTGCAGTTGGTCTTTCACTAATTTCTTGAGAGCATTCAATTTTTCTTCTTCCAGGGACCACTAGTCCACCCAGACAGGATTATCTGTCTTCCAAGTTAACTTCAGGGTGATGAGTGCTTCAGTGGTCCCTATTAAAAATCTACTTTGATCCTGGCTCCCCATTGTGACAAAATATCTCTTCCCCACACTGTGATCAGCTTCTGCACAAGAAATGGATGGACAATTGCCATCTTGTCTTTTGGTCCTGTGACAATGATTGAATGTTCACCCTGCAGACACACTGTAGATTCTCCAGTCCCTGAGAGGGATTTCAAAGGTGTGATTAGATTCCATTCTCCCGGCCAAAAGTTATACGAAATAACTGTTATGTCTGCACCTGTGTTCAACATTCCTGTGATTGTGATTGTCTTATTGTTATATATTAAGTTGCAAGTAATTCATAGTCGGTGTCTGCCTGTCTGTTTCACCCAGGAGACATATGTTTCCTCATCTTCCTTTCCAGACAATGCCTGTTGACTTATGACTGGCATGACTTGAGGTCCAACTGCATTGGCTGGCAAGGCAATGGCTTTGGCGATCGGGGTGTTTTCAGGAATGACCAATGGAGCATGCAAAAATTGAACTAATACTGTTAATTCTTTGTTTTGATTCACCGAGATGGCTGTTGGAAAAATGATGAACCCTAAAATACTACTTCTTTCTTTACCTATGATTAAAAAGTCTTGTCTTTTCCACGATGTTCTGGTGACTGCTGTAGAAATCACTGCATGGATCTCACTCATGAAGAAGGTTGATTTGGAAGCTGCCAATTCACATTGTGCGCCTGGGGATAGCAGGTCTGGGTCACTGGGGAAGTGACAGATTGTCTTGTGTAAGGCATCTGATTGGGGTTCCACACATACTGTAAGTTTTGCTGTTGCTGGTCCACTGGCTGCTGTCCTGTCACCATTACTTCTGTCCTGACGCTCTGGCGACTGGCGCTCCCTTTAATTTTCAAGCAAAAGCAAAGGATTTCCATCCACATCTGCCTTTGAATGGCACTGGCTTGCAAAATGTCTTCCTTTTCTACATCTTGGGCATTGATTTGGTGCTTTTGCATTTTCTCCTGACTCTGGTCAATATTTCTTTATGTGTCCGAATTTTCCACATTTGAAGCATGGTTTTTTGTAAAGTTCTGTTGCCATCTGTTGGGGGTTGGATTACTCCCCTTTTCTTTCTGTGGAATTTTTCCCATTGTTATGCTAAGTATTTGTGGCTACACCTTAGTAGTAATAGTTTTCTCTCGCAGGGGGGTGGGGGATAGGGGGAGTCTGGAAAAGGAAAAGGTGGGACAGGGGCCTGGGCTCTCACTCTCTCTCTCTCCTGCTCGCTGGTGAAGTGGAAGGAAGACAGCTGGAGCTCCTATCTAGCATCCTCCCTGTCATCCCAGCACTGGGAGCCACGTTCCCTGCCATCGAACACCGCTCTGCTGCTTTCCCACTTCATCCTACTACCTCTGGACACTCTGCCGAGCACCACGACCGACACCGTGAGGGGGGAGTCACTTTCCCCATCCCTCTCACCCCTGGGCCGCTGCCGCCATCACCCAGCCCTCTTCAACTGCGCGGGACCTGCCCTGCCCACAGCACCGGTAACTGAGCTCAGGGAAAGAGGGTCTGTGGCCAAAAGGGACTGGAACTGAACTATACTGTTCTGTTTTGTTGTTGATGTTTATAGCTGTTGTTGTTTCTGTTGTTTTGCCTAGTTAGATATCAGTAAATAACTGTTATTCCTATCCCCATATCTTCTGCCTGAAAGCCTCTGATTTGAAACTATAATAATTAGAAGGGAGGGGGTTGCACTCTGCATCTCAGAAAAGGGGTTCTCATCTTTTCTTAGTAAATACCTGTTTTTCAAACCAAGACACCATCACTTCTGATGAAGTCTCTTGTTTAGGAGTTAAATGAAGAGCTTCAAGAATCTTCTCCAACCTTTTATCTGAAGCTTCTAAAAGTTTTCCAAATTGTTCCCCCAAAGCATTTGCTTGAATCAGTGCCATATGTTGAGGAGTGCCTATCTTGCTCCGTGCTTCTATCATTTGAGGTACAGTTGGTTGTGGATCGGGCAAAGTATTGATTATGCATTTACATTCATGGTTGGCATTTGCAAAAGCCAAGCTCTGAAGCAGATGTGGATGTGCAATTTCATCACTGCATTGCCTTTCCAATGCTTGGGTTAAACGATCTATAAAAGAAGTGAAAGATTCTGAGGCACCTTGTTTTACTTCTGTGTAAATTCCTTCTGGAATTCCGTCTGGCTATATTTGAAGTATGGTTTCTGAGCTACTTTCTTAATGTCTTTGAGTACATCTAGAGGCAAGACTGCTGCTTGATCTTGAGGTTTGTCATCAGGAGGGTCTCCTGCCAGTTGTCCCACTGTGAAGTGCCTGTGTGGGCCTCTAGCATAGGAATCTCTTAATTTTATGAGAGCTCTCCTCCATCTCATTTCCCACAGCATGAACTGTGCCTCTGTTAGAATTGTCATGGCAATATATTTACAATCAAATGGAACCAAATCATAATTAGCAAAGACACTTTTTAAAATTTGCTTGAAATATGGAGAGCTTAAACCACTCTCTGTCAATGCCTCTCTTAAGTCCTTCACCATATCACGTGTTAGAGATGCCCATCTGGGATTTGCACCTCTTCTTCCATAGGAGACTGGCATAGCTTTTAGCTGTGATGATGCCATATCGAGATCTCCTTCTTTCAAAGCTCTTCTCCTGATTTCATCCCAATCTGTGAGCATTTCTTTCGAGGGTTTCTTTGCCTTTTTCTTCTTCAGGGTGGCTCCTGTTCCTGAAAGAAATAGAACTAATTCTCTATTTGTGGTCTGTAAATTACCTTTATCTTGTGTATTTGAGTCCTGAAAGGATGCTCTTTCTCCCAGCTTCAAAGCTGTATTCATGTCTTCGCGTCCTCCTCTTTCTGTGAAATAACCTGTATTTAACATCTGCTGTTGCCAATTTAAGTATTTGGGAGTGCAGTAATAGAAACTGCCAGAGGTGGCACTGCAGCTGGAGGGCTGGCATCTTGTTGTCTACAAACTGAGCTAGCGGAAGTACATATGCATTGCTTACGGAAGTGAACAGGGCGCCGCCATATTGCACGGAAAACAGAAAAGGGATCCGCCATCTTGTACGTAACCTGAACACATGGCGCCGCCATTTTATGCTCCATAAAGGTTTGCTGCGGCGTCTCTTAGCTGGAACAAAAGATCTCTGAGAAATTATTTTGGGAATACATTCTGATATCTCACTGCCATGCCAAATGGAGGATTAATTGGTGCTGCTGCGATTCCTGTGGGATACCACAGTCCAGGAAAGGTAGGTACAGAGTTTATTTGCCCTGTTTGCTGCTGGGGAAATGCTTGTAGAAAAGTTGGTGCATGATTAATTGCTTGTGTAACTTTTGGCATTAGAAAATTGCTGTGTATATTTTCTGATTCTGTGTTTCCAAGCTCAGATTCAGCATCTGAGTTGTTCCCTTCCCCTTCGTCAGATTCTGAGAAACTGCACTCTCCCTCTGGACATAATTCACCCTCGTTTTCCTCTGCCACTGTCTGTGGGCTTTCCAGAGGAAAAGCCATGCTTGTGATATTTAAAACTTGCATAGGGTTAACTCCAAACCCCGCGGGCTGCACTGCAGATCTCTCAGCCCCACACAGCAGCGGCGGCTGTGTCAGTCCCGATCCTGGCCCCCCCGCGGCTAGTTAACAAGTTAACTGTTTCTTGCCTGGGAGTCGCCACCTGTCCCTGCTGTGTTCCGCATGGCTGTGCCCCAGCCTCTGCGGATCTTGGCTGCCCTCCACAAGAAATAAGAGGCGCTGGTGATGATCCCAACTCCCTAGTTTGGATAGGAGCAGGTTTGTTTTGTGATTGTGGTGGCTGCGATGAAATTTTCCCAGCCGCTCCTTTTAAGTCTGGAGCAGAGGGCACTAGGACCACAGTGTCTGCTTTCTGTAGAGGCGCGCATGTTTGAACTGCAGACTGCTGCTCTTTTTCTGCCGAGCAGGCTCCGGGTTTCCCCGATCCGGGGTTGTTTCCCAAGAGTCCTAAAGATCTCGGGTTTGGGGATTCCCCCCTCTATTACCACTTGCTCAGCAGGTGCTGAAGAAGGCATGCTCTCCTTTGGCTGAGACTTTTTTTGTGTTTTTTTTAGATTTTGTACCAACTCTCTCTGGAGTTGGGGGAGATAGAGCTTGTAGTCCCTGCGTCTCCCCTGTTACTTAAATCTCTGCCATAGGAAGTAAATATTTGCTCTCCACTTGCGACTCATGCCTATGTGTTACTACTTCATATACAACCCTACATGGAGAAAGTAGCTTCGCAGCTGCTAGATTACCATATGTGGCTGCATTATACAATTTGAGATTTAGAAAGTCCCATAAATACGGATTAAACAAGCTTTTTGGATCCTTATTTGGAATTTGTTCTTGGGCCCGTTTCAAAAGCTCTTTCAATTGGTCTCTAGAGACTTTAATTGGATGCTCTTTTACCATTAATTCTGTTTGATCCAGAATGTCTTTCTGAGATCTGGATAATACATTGCCCATCTTTTTAGCTTCACCTTGAAGAGAACAAAATGCTCCTACCTTATTCTGGTAGATCCGTTTACCCCTCGGGGTCCCTCCTGTCTGTAATGTTCAGCACTACAGGCTCCTGGTTCCTCTCACCAGCGTCTAGGGATCTCCGAGCTCCTTTTCACCCCGGGAATTTTTCCATCTTCCAGCTGCTTTAGTTATATTCTTTCTTCAGGGAGGTCCTTGACCCCGAGATTTACAGGTGTCTTTCCTTCCTCACACATGGGGCACCAATATGTTGGAGCGTGCCAGGCTTTTGCGCCACTAATTAGTGGTTTGTCTCAGTCTCGTCTGTTTCTGTTCAGAGCCAGGATTATTAGAAAGGCAATCGAGCCAGATTCTTGTGTTCGGACTTGGATGTTTATGATATCTTATCAAAATTTACAGAAAGCATAGCAGCACTTCTAGCTCCTTGCTAGAAGTGGCAAAAATGGCTCCAAGCTGAGCCTGCTTCAAGGCATTTAAAGTTAAACACACCAATGAAAGTTTTACACCTATATTATTTATACTTTTAACCCAATAATAGATTCCCATGACCCTTAGAGTGACTTTAAACTGACCAATCCAAAGATAACTACCTAGGTTCTGTGAAGAAGCAGGAAGAGAAAATGAACAAGAAGAAAGACACCACCCAAAATTCTCCATCTTGTCCCATAGCTACCACTATACATAAAATCCTCAAATTTAAAACCCATCACCCAGTGAAAATACACACATCTAACCTACTACACATTTGTGATTTCTAACTTATTATTCATATTTACAAGTCTTCCCCAAGGTTTCAGGTCCACTGCTGTGTTTTCAAGGGGGTCTGTGCCAAGAAGCACAGAAAGCTCAAAAACTTCAGATTCTTGAGATCCAACAGGAAAGCACTGCAAAAGGCGATGTATGAAGCTGCAGGGCACCGTGTGGTGGGCAGAGGGTACAGTCTGCAAGAGGAGCATGGCTGCCACTTTCCTGCTTGTTGAATTCTAGTTAGCAAGTCGCAGGCGGGGAAGTTCAATGACAGCTACCTATTCCTCTTCCTGCCCTCTGTGGAAACAACGGCACTTTGCTTTTGATGTTGAGATGCAGAGAATACTGTAGTAGGTGCAGCGCGGAGAGTGGAAGTTCAGAGTGCATCGGGGAGCTTATGTGGTTTACATGCAGCAAGGGGAAGGTGCAGCCCAGCACTAACTTTCACAGACTGCTTAACAAGGTAGCTGCTGGACATTTGCAACTGTCCAACGAACTGCGAGAGTTAAAAATGAGCCAGTCCATACATGTTAGAAGGAAAAGGCGTATTGCAAGTATGCTGTGCACAATTGGAATGCTGCTAGAAGAAACGGCTGCCTAAGGACATCTTCTGTCCTGATACTTCATTCTCTGTGAGATACAGCTGCTTAGAGTGCGGACTGCACTGAAGCTATGTGAAAGTGATTGCGCTGAAGACAGAAGTTGAGCGAATGCTTTCCGTCCTAGCACATCTCTCAGTCTGAACTGCAACTGGAAATGCTTCACTGTAATGATGGCCTCTGCCACCTTGAGAGAACGTGAGGATGCTCTACATACAGTTGAGCAGAAAAGTGCAGATCACTAGGGTGCTTCACTTAGTTTACAGACTTCAAAGAGACTACGAAAACCAGCATTGCCCTCTTCTTCTAGGACTATTTCTTTGGGTGCAGCTGCTGGATGTTTTGAAGGGGGTTTGGGATCTGCGTGAGTGAGAGGGTAAGAAGGTACACAGAGCTTGGCAGAAAGTGCTTATGTCCAGGGAATTTGATGCACTTCAATGGCTGCATGTTAAGACGCTGATGACACAGAAAAGGTTCTGAAGAAAGAGGCCATGCCAGAATTGCCTTTTATTCTGCAGCCTGCAAACTGCAAAGCCAATAACAAAACGATTCCTCTTTCTTCACCGCTGCACGCAGGATAATGTTGTGTCAGTAGCCAAGAGGCACCACCACCCGCAGTGGAGCTCTCCCCTGATCTGCTCCCACACGAATGGGGGGCCGAGCCAGAAAAGGGCTTGGCTTTTTTCCTGTCAGTGCTCATCAAAACAAACACATGATGGACGGTGCTGTTGAATTGCAAAAGAAGGAAACAGAAGGAAACACACTGAGCCCAGCTCAAAAGCACCCCAAGGAGAGAGAGCCAAGTTGGAAACATGTCTGCTCTCAAATCAAAGGTGTCAGGGCAAAAAGATTCCCCCAGTCTTCCCCTTCCAAGTGCAAAGCCTTCTTTGTACCACACTCAAAGAGCAACATGAACTCCTTTGCCCTAACAAAGCTTTGCACTCTCTCGGAGTCTAGCCACCAACTTGAAAACATCTGGCAAAAACAGACCTCACAGAGAAAGCTGCCAGCTGAGGAATCTCTTGCTGCCTACAACTTCAGCTGCACCCATCAATTCACCACCCTGCTGTCAGCACTTTACTTCTCAGCTCTAGGTACCATCCAAAGCCTTCAGTCTCCCAGAGTCTGGATCCAAAGAGAATGGCACCAGGGACTGCTCCCACACTAAGGGTCCTATGACAAAAATCTCAAGAGCCTGGCATTTGTATTCCCTCTAACAGTTGAACAGCTCTAACCCAAAGAACTGCCTATTGGGAAAAGCCTCTAAATTCACTAAGAACACCCAATGTGTGGCTTCAAACTTGCTTTCCTTGCCAAAGAGAGGAACTACAAGCCATCTCAAAAGAAATGGCATCCCCTCCACTAAATTGTAAAACATCCAGGGACTGATCCCATACCAAGGTGCCGGAGCACTGTTACTGGGCATCACCTACCCAAGGCACTAGATCAGTCACAACCAAGACTCAGAATAGCTGCTTACCTTGTCCAAAAGATGTGTGCTGCCAGAATTTCAGAAGGCCACCTCTGAGAAGTGGAGGCCACATGCCAAATTCAGTCTTTCAGGAAACCACCTTCCAAGGATGGATACCGATTCCTTAGCAAATTAGGCAGTGCTTCCACACTGAATATGCCAGGCCAGAAAGTTGCTGCCACCCCTGACCTCCACTAGGCAGCTTCTTATTTGTGTGTGAAGCACTGAGGCTACGTGATTTCTTTCCCATGAAAAACCATTGGCATTCTGATTCAGGAACTTACCAAGTGAAAGTCACATACCACCTCCAGTATTGTATATGTCCAACAATTGCTCCTTCACAGAAGGGGCCAGGACAGAAATGTCTTGCTAGATTATTCCTCCCCATGCTACCTGAACATCTGCTCCAGCAACACTGGCACTATGTCCTTTGCTTCCCAAGGAAAGGCACTCCAAGTCACTTGGCCTTGCCTTGACTTCAGTACCTTGTCTAGGTTTTCTTAGCCCACCCTTGCTTTGCCTGCTTGCCTATGTCTGCCTTGCGTGACCCTACCTACATCTTCTTCACTTTGCTTTGCCTTGCCTACCACTCTTTACCTTGCCTTCCATGTGCAGGCAAGGCACTGCAAACCAAGGCAAGTCAAGAGGGAGGTAGGCAAGGTCAGAGCAGTAAGGGGAAAGCAAATGGAGTGGTAGGTGAGAGACAGCCCAGAAGTTGTCAGTCAGGCTGGCCATAGGGTGGTAAGCCCAATGATGGGTAGGCCAGGCAGAAACAGGAAGGGATAGGCAAGGCAAGGCCCTGGAGAAAAGCAGTAGGCAGGTCAAGGGTGGGGCATGGGTATGCAAGGGAATGCAAGGTGGGGGGGGGATTAGCAGGGCAAGGCAAGGAAACTGGTGGGTTGCCAAGGCAAGGCAAAGCAAGGCAGGCAACAGGTACATTGTAGGATTGCGGGTACATGAAAGCAGCCAGCGCAGACTGCTCTGTCTGGCCTTGATCCCACAAGGGCCATCTCTAATCTGCACCTCAAATACTTGAGCTACTTGCTTTCCTTCAGATGCAGAAGAACTGTCACTCTGGTCCCGGAGGCCAAGGGCAAAATGTGAATTGCCAGTCCAAAATTTAACAGTGCAAGCACTGGTCCCAGACAAAAGCTGCCCAGAAAGACCTGTGTGGGACCTCCCCTGGGTTTCTTCTCACATGCTTCTGAAACACTGGTGATACATGAGAGCTGTGGGAGTCCTCAGGGTTGTAGACAGGGCAGGGTAAGGCTGAGAAATGTCAGAAGAAAAGGGTTCTTGAATTCCAGGTTGGGGAGTGGTGAGCAAGGTAATGTGAGGCAAGGGAGGGATTCAATGGAAAGGCAAGGTGCAAAAGGACCTGAACAAATGTGAAGGGAGGTCAGGTGGGGAATGGGTGAGCAAGTGAATGCAAGGCAGTGGAGGGAAGGAAGGCCCAGCAAAAGCTACAGACCAGACAGGAAGGAAATGCAAGATGTGGGGAAGCAAGGCAAAGTAAAGGAAGGGACAGCAAAGGCAAGGAAATGTAAACAAGGTGTATGCCTGGTAAGGCAAGGCCCTGGAGGAAAGCAGCAGGCAGGTCAAGGGTGGGGCATTGGCATGGGCATGCAAGGTAATGCAAGGCTAGGAAAGGTTCGTAGGTTAAGGCAAGGAAACTGTTGACTTGCCAAGGCAAGGCAAGTGGCAGGCACATTGGAGGGCTGCTCATACATAGAACTGGCTAGGACAGACTGCTCTGTCTGGCCTTCATCTCACATGGGCCATCTCTAATCTGCACCTAAAACAGTTGGACTACGTGCTTTCCATGGAATGCAGATGAACTGTCATTCTGGTCCAGAAGACCAAGGGCAAAATATGGATTGCCTGTCCAAAATTCAAGACATGCAAGGATAGGTGCCAGAAAAAAGTTGCCAGGACAGACAGGTGTACTTGCAGGTGATCTCCTCTGGGCTACCCCTCACATGCTCCTGGAACAGTGGATGTGAGTGAAGGCCTTGAGAATCCTAGGAGAAGCAGTCAGGGCAAGGCAAGTTGAAGAAATCCCACAGAAAGAGGAGTTTTGAATTCCAGGTGGGAGAGGGGTGAGCAACATCAAACAGGGCAAGGAATGGCTTCGAGGGCAAGGCAAGACAAAGGAGAGGCAGGCAAGGCAGTGAGAGTCCTAGAAGGAGAAGGAAATGAAAAGAAGGACCTGGACAAATGGGAAGCCAGGTGAGGGATGAGTGAGCAAGTCAATATAAAGAACTGGATTGGTAAGAAGTGCAAGGGAAGGACATGAATGGGTCAGGAAGGCAAAGGAAAAGAATGGTCAGGAATGACAAGGGAATGCAAGGTTGGGTAAGAAAGTCAAGGCAATGTAAAGGAGGGGTAAGCAATACAATGGGTGTCCTAAGAGGAACAGCCCGTGCATGGAAGACCAAGAGAAAAGCGGTAAAGAAGTCAGGGTGGGGGATGGGTGAGTTCAGCTGAGAAAGAAAGAAGTGCTTAACTCCAGGGTGAGGGTGTGTGTGTGAAGTTTGAAGGATGTAAAGTGAAGAAAGCTGTCATTTGATTGTGGAGTGAATGGACATTTGCAAACCTAAGCAGCAAGGTCCGAGCAACCTTTTCCTCCTGGTACATCTGTGCCTGCAAGACATAGTGAGAAACTTCCTGGTTTAGATTCAGACTGCAAGTGGGACACAGAATGTGATGGTGTGAATAGCTGAGCAGGAAAGTGCATAACATCGACGTGTTTCAACAGAAGCACTTTGTCTCAGCAAGGAGATGGACATATGGAACTCTGGCAACATGACACTACACTCAGCTGAGAAGCAAAGTGCATAGCTTCAGTGCGTGCTCTGAAGAGGAAAGGCTGCAAGGAAAAGGCAAGGAGACAGGTGAGCAAATGCTTCCTATCCCGGCGCATTTAGTGGTTTGAAGTGGAACTGCTGTTACATTTTACTTAGAACTCTGCAACACTGAGAGGATGTGCATTTCCATGTAGCTGAGAAGGAAAGTGAAAATCACCCAAACTCTGGCAGAGTTTGTAGGGTGCAAGGGGAAGGTAAGGCCAGGCCTGGCTTTCGGCTGTGGAACTTGCTGCAAGGAAGTTGTTGCTGAATGCTTTAAGCCTTTTGGAATCTGCAAGAGTGAAAGGTGAAATGAATAATGGCAAGGAGAACAGCTCCTATTTTAATGCCTTTATTGAGAAATCAGCTCTGGGTGGGAGCCCGACAGGTGGTGCACCACCCGCTGCTCCCAATGGACGATCCAGAGGAGGAGGAATTCAGCTTTGCTGTGGAGCAGAGCTGGGCCTTCTGTCCTCACAGGAGTCCCTCAGAAGACCCTGGCTGGCTTGTAGTCCAGGGGTGTCATGTCCATCAGGTGCTGTTCAGGTGATGGTGACAAGGCAAGAGAGTCCTGGTTGGTGATTTCATCTTCTTCATTGTTTTTCTTACTTGGGAGTACCATTTTTAGTTTTTGATGTTATATTGGCTCATTGTTTTTAGGGGTTTTTTATTACTGAGTTGTGTCCCATAAGTACTTGCAGTCTTCTCATTTGCCAGACATCATTTTGGGAGCAGCGAAGGCGAAGGCGTTACCAACACAGGGAGGGAAAGGGCATAAGGGAAAGACAATTCCAGGGAGTGGGGGTCAGAACAGAACAACAGCAACAATTAACATAAAAACAGGGTGTTTTCCACAGTTAACAGAACAAACAGGAGCTTGTTCTTAACAATTCCCCCCTCTATTTCTTTGATCAGGCCTCAGCCTGCATCAACCTATGATTTTAGTTTCTTGGACAGATAATTTCTTTAGTTTTTGATATTGCTCATATATTTCTTTGGCACCTTTTTGTTTTTGTTTTTGACTTCATTGTTCTTGGCTCTCTATTAACATAAATTTGGTTTGGTTTTGGTTAGTCAGTTCTGGGAGTTGTATACTGGCTTGGATAGTGGAGGTTACTACCCGGATTAGGCAGGGAAGTAGGCATGGCAAAAATAATAGTCCGGTGATTGCGCATATTATTGTAAATGCAGCCTTCTTCCACCGTGTTCCTTTGAAGGACCAAAAGTTGTCCCACCAGCTAGTATCCATTAGAGGAGTCCACTCTTGGGCACCCACATATGCTAATTTTTGAATTTCTTTGGAGATGTTTTTAATTACTGAACTTTTATCAATGATTTCTAGGCAGCAGTCAGAGGAATTAAATTTCCCACATATCCCTCCTTCATCTGCTAATAGGTAGTCTACACCTAATCTAATTTGGTATATCACTGCTCTTGTTTGATTTAATTGGTCACTGATATGGTCAAGTGCAAGGGCTGTCTGGTTGGAGATTACCTCGAGTACTGCTTGGAGCCTGATAATTCAGTTCAGCATATAAATTGGGGTACGGTATCCCCATGATCCATCTTGGACCCAAGTAGCTGGCCCGTAAGTTTTAACAATTTCTTCTGGGGTCCATACTTTTCCATTCCACTTTTGGTTACCTCCTATCTCGATTATACTCCTTTTTTTTCTGCTTGTTTTCTTTAAATGGTCATACACTGGGACTCCTAAGTGTGGTCCTGACTCTTTTGGCCATAGGAAGGAGGCTGGTTTAATAATCCCTATAGCGCAACTCCCTGCCCAATCTCCAGGAAGTTTGGTGTATGCTGTATTACCACAGATCCAAAATAAAGGTTGTGGAGCTTCCCAAAATGCATCCCCTATTTCGGCTGGGGATTCCCAAAACTTTGACAATTCCCTTATGCTCCAAAATGGGTTAACTCCTTTCTCTGTACATTTGTGTAACTCATATTTCTCATGGTAAATACACCCTCTTTCCTTTCTTTCAACATACCAGTATCCATTTGTCTCTCTGGGGATCCACTTTGTGCCTAGATCTTTTATTATTAGGTATCTTTTACATGCCATTTTCCCTATGGGAGTATTATACTTCTTCCCTGTTCTCATGATGCATTCTTCCCCAATTACCTTGGACTTTAAATCCCATTGTTCTCATCCCCTTGCTCCTACAACTTGTGGTTCTTGTGTAATTTGGGTCCATCTCAGTATTTCTAATAGACTTAAACTTATTCCTTCCCATGGCCAGATTTCAGTCATTTGGGTACTTCCACAAATCCAGCAGTCTGTCAAGTTTAATTCTTTACTGATTCTTTCAACTAGATCTATAAATAAATTTTTTCCCACAGGAATATCTAAATCATTTTTTCCTTGTGTTGTTACTTGTTTTTCTTTTACCAGGTCTACCAATCCATCTCGGTTTGTTTCATACTCAAAGCAAAGCCAGGTATCTCCTACAGGGCATTCCCCAAGTAGGCGTTGCTTATAAGAAGCAGTATTTTTTACAAGCCAATAGACTTTCCCATCTTCTTGACAGGTGTTTAATTGGGAGTTATTGAAGCATTTGCAATTTAGGTTGGTATGAACCCTCAAGAGAGACTTCAGATTTTCTCCATCATAGAGAGGGTGGTAGCATTTGGTACAAGCATCCTTTTCACTCCCTTGAGTGTTACCTATGAATAGGATTAACACTATTCTTCCCAAGAGTCCAGTATGAGCCATTTCTCTCTTGACCTCACCTGGTCTTGCCTCTTGGGGAACAAGGAGACTTCCTGGATGTGTATTAGAGTCTTTCTTAGCAGCCGGCTCCTTCTACTCCCACTTCCCTATTAATTTAGTCACCCTTGGAGAGTGCTCTGTAGGAGATTTATTGTGCTAAGTGTTGAAACCTTCCTGGGGGTAGAATTGTGGTTTGCAGGAAGTGCTTGTTTGAAAGCTGAAGTTACTGAAGAACCATGTGTAGTATGTAAGCTATACCTTAAAAGCTCAGGAGAATATATGAACCCTCCAACATTCTAGTCAATTATCAGGGGAAGCATACAAACAGTAACTTTTAACTTTGCCGACTCTTACTACTTTGACCTTCCAACTATCCAAGCAACAGCAACAGTATCAGAAGAGGTAGAACATGAGTACAAACATTACTGCAGGTAACTTCTGAAAAATATTACAGAACCCTTATTAGAACATAATACTAACTTGTACACAAAAGAAAATGTATCCAGTAGTTTTTTTTTTTTAAGGGGTCCTTCAACTGTTTTTTGGTTTTCTTTTTAATGTCAATTTGAGGTCTTTTGAATCTCGGATAGCAGTCCACTCAGGGGCATCTGTCGATGGTGTGATTGGATCTGGTTCACTACCAGGGGGTGATACTGGTCCTTTAACTCGAGAGA